CTTGGTGGCAAGGACCTTCATTTTAATGACCATCCAAGCTTCTGTGACTGAGGGTTTTGTTTTGTTTTTTCTGTGTATTCCAATCTGTTTGCATTGCTAATTCTTTACACTATATGAAAAAGGAAAGGCTAAGAACTAAGGCAAGACAGCTAAGTCGGGGTGTGAAAGAAAATCTAGCAACGGTTGAATGCTAAGGATTTTTAGTTGTGATTGCCATATCAAGTGTGCCGTACAACCACCAGCTGATGGATAAAAATGATGTATTTCCTGACTGCTAAACACTCGTTTCTGGAGTTTGCTGTATCTCATTGGATGAAATTGGATCAGAGATGGTGCTAGCCCCAGAAACGTCCTAGTGATTGCTTTGGTTGGTGGCAAATGATTACCTGTAGTTTGTTTTCAAATGTTATCCTGCAAATACAAACTACCAGCCAAGAAGTAGTAAAACTTAAAAAAACAGCCATGCAAACTGGAAATGGAGAAGGTTCACCCTGCAGAGTAAAAGTTGTTTCAGCGCTAGAGCCAAAATCTTTCACAAGGTGCAACTTTGAAGGCATTTGATGGAGATCTCCAGTTCCATTTTTGGCATGCTTTTCAGTTTGTTATAATTTATTTATTAGAGTAGCTGAGTCCATAACCCATGAAGTCTATAACTTCACCTCAGGCTAAGATAGCAATATACTAGTGACTAAAGTAATCACAAGGAGGTTTTTGGGGAACACCTTTTTCCCTAGGGACAGGCGGTTGCCAGGGAAGTCACTGCCCAATCTCTAGGCCTGTGTGATTATGTTATTCACTTGATCTGGCAGATAAGTTCAAGTCACACGGTTAGAGGTCACATATCTGCAAATCCTCAATAGAAATTTAAGCTTTATCAGTGCACAAAAATACATGTGGTGTTCCTTTTTTTGAATCACTGATTTACAAATCATTGTTCACCAGCGAAGTGCAGAGTTGTGGACTCATTATTCAGTAAACAAGCAAACTGGCAAAAGGACTTGAGGAGCTGAGGTGGCAACAGTAACCTTGATGTTAGAGTTGTAACCAGAAACCTGAAGCTTGGGTTAGTCTGGGCTGGTAGCCAGGGACCTGGAAGCTAGGCTACACGTTGGCAACCAGAAGCTAAAGCTGTGGCATTAAGATGTCACTAAGGTTTGGGCCAAGAAAATGGGAGTAGAAATAAGCCAAGACAAAGGGGAGCTGAACAGAGAGAACTGACAAGACGGGAGTTTGGGAGGCAAGGGCTGAATCAGCCAAAGAAACTGCATAGATAAGAAAGCATGAATTTCAATAAGCAGAATACTAACAGAACAGTAAAAGTGGCCAGTTTACAGATGAGCACTGCAAAGGCAGAGACTGTGTTCTAGTTGCAAAGGAGTGGCAGGGCAGAGCATTTCAGAAGACCTGATTGTTCAAGTGGCTGCAGCTGGTCAGGCACTGTTCAGGCTACAGGGCACCTGTCTCCAATCCTGTAATCAAGCACCCACTAACACAGAGGCTGCACGCGAAGCAAGAGAGGAGGCAGAGTCCCTGCTTGGCTATTCCTATTTCGATCAAACATGTGATTAACCATCTCATATCCTGGGAGCAGCTCTTCAATCATCCTACTTTGCTCACTGTTAAGCTACGTTCACACTGCAGGCGAAAGCGCATCAAATCCGATTTTTTTTTTTTTGGACCCTATGTGACCCATATCCGATCATGGTATGACAGTGTGAACGGCACAAATCCGATATTTTCAAATCCGATCTGAGTCACTTTCGTATGTGGTACTGAATCCGATACATATCCGATGTTTTAGAAAGCGACTGCTGTTTGAACAGTCATGTCGCATTAAATCCGTCTTTTACGTCACTGACACAAGACAGACACCAATTATCAGCGCCAGAGAAGACATCGCGAACGCTTCCTGGCCATCCAGTGTAGATGTTAGTGAAACTGTTGGGAAGACAACGTGAACATTTTATTTATACTGTATAATCTGCAGATTTTGATAGAAATCTGCAACTATTCTTTGAAGCACCGCTCCTCTAAAACAGCAATAAGGATCATTATTAGGTTATCTACATTATTATGTAAATAACAAAATAACTTAAAGCAAAAATTGGGAAACGTAAAGTCTGAAGTCTTTATATTAACAGCCATCAGTCAAACAATATTGTTTGCTCTGGGTCTAAACAGAGCGCGTTGTGTGTGACGTCTTCTTTTGCACATGCGGGCCGCTTTGAGCGTTCACACTAGAGCGCGTTTGCTGTCGCATTTTATTTGTAGTGTGAACAAAAAATCGGAATTGAGCATTAAGACTTGCAGTGTGAACGTAGCCTTAGTAGGAGTTGGCTGCATGACAAATATCTCGTTACCCACAGTCACTGGCATGACTTTTTTCTCTTTTTTTTTCTTTTTTTTTTTTTTTTTAAAGAATTTCTGCTCTTGATGAAAGGGGGAAAAAACGTAATTAAATCTTGTCCAGTAGTAATTTAATCTCCTCTTATCAAGACTCATTTGTTTGCATAATAAAAGGCCAAAAAAAGGAGCACTTGTTGACTTTTAAGTGATTTGCATTAGTAAGTGCTTGCTCACCACACTCTACTGTCCCTCAGCTGTTGCGACTGCGTCACAGTTGCACTTTCCTCTGTTCTGATTTAATGGTGATCAGTGTGCCCACAGTTTTTGAATGTCTCTGATTCCCCACGTAGGCAAGCCCACTAAGAAGCAGGCAAGTTCAAGTTCAAAGTTTATTCGCCACATGCAATGGCAGGTTGCCCTGCAGTGGAATGAACCCGCCTCCTGACCTTACACATACAACACAGACATCACATGGGGATACAAGTCGGAGAACGGTTGCATTACAGAAAAAACACTGAAATGTACACTACAGTGGGAAAAGGTACAAGAGGAAAAAAAGAGACCTCTACTCATGCTGGGCTACAGGAGGACAGCATGAGAACAGGAAACAAAAAAAAAACTCCTCTGCACAGAAAAGCACATAAATGTCCACAGTACAACATTATAGAGCACGTGACCAGCAACAGCACTGTTCATGCCTCTTCTGAGGGGGGATGTTAAGAGGATTTATAAAATCAGAAGGCACTTCACTGTACATGATAGTCAAAGGCTGTAAACATGCCAGTCATAGTGACATAACAAATTCTTTGGATGAGCCAGAAGTGTGAATACAGACAGTAATAATAATTCATTTTGCATGCTAGTGTAAGCTTAGACTTTGTGTGTTAAAAGTGGGTGGGTTGTTGCAGATGAATCAGTATTTCTGTCATTATGTAACAACTAATGCCATTTTACTTCGTACGTTTCCCGTATCACTTCCTGCTGTTTCAATGCTGTCAAAATGGTCAGCTTACGAAATAAAAGTCACACAACAAACATGTGTGCACAGCTGTTTGTTGATGCTCTGTGAGTTAACAGTTAACATGTCCCACCCACTGCAGAGCCAAAATGATCACGGTGGTTACAGATTGTTTATTTCACAGGCTAACTGGGTTCTGAACAGATGTAATTATGATGCAAAACATTTTAATTGAATGACAGATTGTGTGCGGCCATCCGTATCAAATCGGTCTCTGATGGAGAGTTTTTCGGCCATTTCCCAGGTGACATCAGCAGCTAGCGAGCGACTGTGCTAACAGCGATCATCCGGTTTGAATTTGCTGACTTAATTCGACAAAGTTGGCTGTATGTGGCCTATGAACTACAGTAATTTTGACATCTCTGCAGTAGCCAGATCTCCTAAAGGATTGAAGATGATATTGAACACAGGATTTGCATATCAGAGCATGATCAAAAATGACCTTTCCATGACCTAAAATTGGGTAAATACAAACTAAGATTAATAATAACACATGCTATATTACACTGTGCTATTATTTATTTAATAAGAGTTAAGCCAAAATGTACAATCAGTGGAAAAAAACTAAGTACACTTCATATTTCAATCAATAGCTTGTGAATCACCTTGACTTTGAGTAACCTGAAATTCTCACTTTCTGCGTGATGTTATTCGTTTCTCATTCGTTTCTCGCCCAGTTTTCTGTAGAATGTTTCTTCAGTTCATTGAGTTTTGTGGACATTTGCTCATGCACAGCTCTCTAAATGTCCCCCGCAGCCTTCAAGTAGGTTGAGATCTGGACTTTAACTGACTCACTACAATTTCTTTATTTTAATCTTTCAGCAATTCTTTAGCTCATGGGGAAATTAGCGCAAGTCTGGAATATTTGCCCCTGATATTTGAATAATCTTTCTCATTGAAGAATGGCAGACTTAAAATTATTTGGAAATAGCCTTATAACCATCCTCAGACTGATGGGGAGCAACAACCGCTTCTCTAAGATCATCGCTGATTTCTTTCCTCCCTAGCATTGTGTTAACGCACATTGAAAACTGCCAAAACATCTGCTTTTACACAGCTGCTCACACTTGCTGCTGATCAATCAATGCATTTGATTAGTAGCACCTGGCTGCTACTTATACTCTTAATTCCTTTGGAAGCAGTAAGCATGTACTCAGTTTTTCACTCGCTGCTTCTGCGTTTTGGCTTAACTTTTCTTAATGAATATTAGCAAATAACATGAAAATAATTGAAACCATAATAATGTCATTTTGCATATGCATTCCAGACAAGTTTCTGCCAAAGATTCACAAGTGCATACATGTAATAAATCAATTAATCAATCAAAATAAGACAGATGATAAATAGATAAAATCCTGACAAAAAGCACCGGTCACACATTCAGTGTTGCAACAGCTTCCAGTGTGCACAGGATGTACCCACTTCTTTATGAAAGTTGAATGAAAGGGTCTCAGCTTAATTCTGTTCTCATAAAGCCCCAAAATACTAAATGGGTATAATTACCTCCCCCTCTCATTGTCTCTCTTTCTCATCGCCCCTCTCTCACACAGTTGGCCTGTTTGTCTCTGCCTTTGCTTTGTTGCCATGGCACCTCAGCATCTCACCTCTTCAATCTGTTTTTGTGTTCTCATTAAAGGCTCCGTCACTTGAACCCAAAGAAACGGCAGTAGCAGAACCTGAACAACAAGATGAAGTCTTTGGTAAGAGGTCTTTGAATTAAAATTTACATGCATATTACATATTGAAAATACTCCCATCTGACAGACGAGGAGATGTATATGTTTTTCAGTTGTTGATGAGAAAATGAATGACAGTTTGTAGTGTGCATAATCAGCTCTGGAGCAATCTAAAGATTGAATAGAGGCCTTCCCAACCCATACACGTCCACTTATGAGAGTCAAAGCTGGCATCAGTCAATTTACAGAATATCCATCATATTTTTTAGCCACGTCTGGCTGGTTTTTAAAAAGTTAGCAATGATTTATGAAGGACAGCCTTTCTTAAAAGTACTGTTGCAATCATTCCAAAAATTTTTGTTGATTCTTATAGTTTAGAAAAGTTTTGTCTTTGGGTCACATTCACGGTGATGTTTCGTGTGAAAGGATCAGGTATTACAAATAAGGCCTCTGTAATACTGCAGCTCAGCAGATGAGGGCAGTTGAGTTTGATCCACAGGAGTAGACCCATGTAGGTTGGTTATGATTTGATTTTAGGAGTCAGTGCTTTTGCAAATTAGAATGTATGGGATTATTTTTGCAACCAGAGGCAATTGCAGTTGTGCGTGCAAATATGCAGACTATGTCTTTTTTTTTTTTTTTTTTTTTTT